GGGGGGGGGGTTGATGCCTTCACCTAAGGACACTGTTGCCTAGCAACACACTCACACACACACACCTGTGTGAGGAGATGAGGAGATGAGGAGGTTTCTCCTCCTACACACACAGCAGCAGTGGGATTCGATTTGTTACACAATAAAAGTTTTTCACATTCAGAAACAAACATTCAGACATCAAGTATTCAGACGTACTGCGGTAAAAAAATACTGCATTACGAGTACAAGTACTGTAGTACAAATACAAATACTGCAGTACAAGTACAAGTGGTATCTTCCTGTGTACCTCATGAAATGATTTGTGATATGAGATCAACGTCGTGATATTGATGATGTCTTGTTGATTTCTGGAAACTGCTCGGGAAACTGCTAGCCTATCATGTAGGATCCTTACATGTTGTATCTGGTTGGCTAATCAGATTCTCTCTCTCTCTCTCTCTCTCTCTTTCAGTGCGGCTACATGACAGTATTTCAGAGGAGCTTCATCATTACCTCATCTTTGACCTGTGAGTGCTGCTCTGTCTCTCTCTAAATGACACGTGTGTTCCTGTGAAATCACTTCCTATGATGCTCTTTGTCTCTCAGGGTAACAGGTGGAGAGTTGTTTGAAGATATTGTAGCCAGAGAATATTACAGTGAAGCTGACGCCAGGTAAATCAATAAATCAATAAATGTGTCTGACTGAAAGTAGGTTCAGCTCTGACCTCTGTCTCTCTGTGAACAGTCACTGTATCCAGCAGATTTTGGAGGCGGTGCTACATTGCCACCAGATGGGCGTGGTCCACCGAGACCTGAAGGTACCAGTCTGACTGGAGTTAGCATGTTAACAGAGATAGCATGTTTTAACCTTGTAGACCAATGGGCAGAGTTAACATGATAGCATCTCTCATGTAAACCAATGGGCAGAGTTAGCATGTTTGCATATCTCATGTAAACCAATTGGCAGAGTTAGCATATCTGATGTAAACCAATAGGCAGAGCTGGCATGTTAGCATCTCTCAAGTAAACCAATTGGCAGAATTAGCATGTCAGCATCTCTTATGTAAACCAATAGGCAGAGTTAGCATGTTAGCATCTCTTATGTAAACCAATAGGCAGAGTTAGCATGTTAGCATCTCTCATGTAAATCAATGGGCAGAGTTAGCAGGTTAGCATCTCCTCTGTGTCTTCAGCCAGAGAACCTGCTGCTGGCCTCGAAGTCAAAAGGAGCGGCGGTGAAACTGGCTGACTTCGGCCTCGCCATCGAGGTGGAGGGAGACCAGCAGGCCTGGTTTGGTAAGACCCCACAAATACTAGTAGTTGTTCAATCCATTCATATAGCACTGAATTATAAATCACAGGTTTTGCCTCAGAGGGCTTTACAATCCGTACATCAACATCTGTCCCAGGACCCCCGCATCAGAACAGCAAAAACTCCCCAAACCAGCCCTAACTATAAACCTGAGCCAGCCCGAACGATAAACCAGAACCATCTCTAACTATAAACCTGAACCAGCCCTAACTATAAACCTGAACCAGCCCTAACTAT